TGCCCCTTCATTGGTCCACTCATTCTTTCCGGAAGCATTCATGAAGCACCTATGGTGGACCACATGGTATGCTGAGTCCTGGAGACTTAGAGCTGACTACTGCAGTGACAGTGTCATAAACAAGTAGGCAAAATGAACAAGACAAGTGGTCATGACATGTGGTGGTTTGAAAGAAAATGGTCCCCAAAGGGAATGGCACTATTAGGAGGTGTGGCCTCATTGGAGAAAGTGTGTCATTGTGGAGGCAGGCTTTGAGGTCTCATATATGCTCAAGCCATGCCCAGTGAGACAGATCACTTCCTGTTGCCTGTGAGTCAAGATGTAAGACTCTCAGCTACTTCTCCATCATCATGTCTGTTTCCCACCATGATGATAATGGAATAGACCTCGGAAACTGTAAGCCACCCAATTAAATGTTTCCCTTTATAGGAGTTGCCATGGTCATGGTGTCTCTTCACAGTACTAGAAACCCTAACTAAGACATAACAGAAGATACTAAATGATACAGCAAAAATATAAGCACAAAGTTCTCAGAGAACAGAGGGGAACACTATTTCTACACTGGTGAAGTCTCACTGACAACATTTAGCTGATGTGAATTCCCAGTAGAGACTGAGCAGAAGCCAAGACTCTTCTTACCTGTGGCTCTACAGCCAGGACACTAACAAAGCAAACTACCATGAAGCAAAGAACCCCGTGACCAATGGTTGGTCCAAAGCAGAGCCTGAGGCAAGTGTGGGAGCTGAGTTGTCAAGCGGAGGGCATGGAAAAGCAGAAAGGATCAGAGAATGGAATTGTGGTAGTTGATTCTCAGAACACTGCTCAGAGCCAACTGTTGTGACTGGCCTTGTGGATGTCCTGTGACATCAGCAATGAGTGTGAATGAGCTCAAGAACAGAAACAGAAAAGACACAGCTGAATAATCCTACTGGGTAGATGCTGGGGAACCTTGGAGAGGTATCAAGTGTGCTGATTTTGAAATATGGGCAGGAGTTTCCGGCAAAGAAAATTCCATGGAATTGAGTGTTGATCATTCCATGTGCCTCTTCACAATACTCTTCGTCTGGCATTCAAGGCTACCTGTTCCCAGACACCAACCTAATTTCCATCCCAGCACATTCGCCTCCACATTTACACACATGGGGCTCATCTTTGCTCCCCAAGTAGTCTCTGATTCTTTAACTTATTTTTGTCCCAAATGCCTTGCCTTCTTCTGATTAAAACTGTGCATTTGTCTCTTTATTTTTTATTTTTATTTTATTTTTGATTTTTTGAGAATTTCTCTGTATAGCCCTGGTTGTCCTAGATCCACTCACCTCTATCTCCCAGGTGCTGGGATTAAAGGTGCATGCCGCCATCACCCAGCTAACTGTGCTTTTTTTTTCTCTCTCTCTCTAGTCCAAATACTAGTCCATATTGGAAGGGTTCCTCTCATATTACCAATGCCCCAGGGAAAAGGAACCATTCTTAAGATTTCTTCAAGGTCCCCACTGGCCAAGCTTCTCTCCTGACTTCGATTAAACACAATGCTTCGGAATCTGTTTGATAAGTGATGATTGTGGTAAGCTATCTGCAGACAGGGGCACATTCTGCTTGCCTAGCCTTTTGACTACAAAGGTGTCATCTGCCAAGAGCTGAGTTAGTACCTGGTGAACTTTGGATATACACATCCTTGGTTCGCCAACTGCTGACCTTCCGGTAAGTTTACTACTTTTTTTTTTTTCTGAATCATTTGCAACTGAGTTGCAAGCAAGCACCCTGATACTCAGCCCTGAATACTTCAGCATATGGACTTCTTCCTATAAAACCACAGCCATTTTCTCAAATCTATTATCGCCCATCTCCTGGGATCGACAAGTTCCACAATTGTGTCAGAGATGTCTATCGTAACCTTCCCTCTTTAGATTGGAGATGCAATCAAACTGATACATTGTGTTAGTTGGTCCATTTTTGCTTTTATTAAGACATTAAGATGGCCAAATGTTTCCTCAACCTTTGGGTGTCAAAAATCTTAAAGAACTCCAGGAAAACCTACTACCAGAAACAGGGATGAGCCAGTAAAGTTTCCTGGACCAGGAAGCATGAATGATTTCTGAAGATGCCGGCTGCCTCCAATGGAGAAAGACAGTTATCGCTATCAGCTAGAGCAGTGGTTCTCAACCTATGGGTCATGACCCCTTTAAGGGTTGCATATCAGATATTTATATTACAGTTCATAACAGTAGCAAAAGTATAGTTATGAAGTAGCAATGAAATAATTTTATGGTGGGGGGGTCACCACAACATGAGGAACTGTATTAAATGATCGCAGCATTAGGAAGGTTGAGAACCACTGACCTAGAAGAGCCTTAGGGGAAGGCAGTGAGAATAAGGGCAACTGCCTCACCAAGCTAGGAGATGGGATGCCTGCTACTATCCTCTACAATCACCTACTTCACGCTAAACTGAACTTTTCTAGGGCTGTGTTCCATAAAAACAGATCACTACAGGGCAAATACCACCATGGTGACCATGTATGGGCACTGAAGTCCTTTTGCAACCATAACTGATAAATTAGAGAAATCGGGGGTACAGGGTAATTCTCATCCAACTTTCTGGACGTGGGCATTTGTTTAAAGCCCTCCAGAACTGTAGTGATTTCCCCCTAATTTCTCACAGACAATAGCAGCACAGGTAAGGCAGCTATTGAAGGGCTTCATTAAGCAAAGGGAAGGGGCAGACTCAGTCAGAGTACGGACAAGGGAAAGAAAGCTTTAGCTGTTTCTGAGGAGCCAGAGACTTACACAGAGAGTCCAGGCATGGACTTGAACTTGTATGACCTTGCCTGAGCTGCTTAACTCTTAGGAACTTGGTAAAGCAGAGGAAGTTGGGCTAGAATTAAATCGCAGTTACTTAAAATAAGAATAAAAATAAAAATAAACTTCTGTCTGTCTATGACAAACACCTTATGAGGAGCCTTACAGCTGTGGGTTTTTAACCCATTCCTTTTCCACTGTGATGGAAGCAGCTCTGAGTGGGAGGCGTGTGTGTGTGTGTGTGTGTGTGTGTGTGTGTGTGTGTGTGTGTGTGTGTGTTGTGTATGTGTGTGTATCTGTGTGTGTGTGTGTGTGTATCTCTGTGTGTGTGTATCTGTGTGTGTGTGTGTGTGTGTGTGTGTGTGTGTGTGTGTGTGTGTGTTGGCTTTTTGCCCCCACCCCCTATAGGGTCACTTGGAGCCTAAGCCGACCTTGAATCTATTAAGTAGCCGAGGATGCCCTTGAACTTCTGATCCTCAGGAATTTGGGCATTGCTCGTGTGGGTGAGCGCAATGGTTCAAACTGATCTTAAGCAGGCAGGACCGGGAACCTGGGTACGGTAAGAATTTTAAAAGCGGATTCTCAGACAGGAATCAAGTGAGTGAGCCGGCAGAAAAGTACACTGGAATCCTTCCACCATCCCAAGGAGCGTCGCTAGCAGTGTGCTCCTGCGTCTCCAAACTAGCTCATTCCCTCCTCCTCACCCCAGCCTGAGCACCGTTATTACCGTACAGTGGCTGCAGAGGCAGCATACTGCATGCGTTTTCCAGAGAGAATGGAAGATACCGGGAAGCCAAGATCGCAACATTCTGGAGATGTTCACTCACCACCATTTTTTTTTTTTTTTTTCCCATGCTCGATTCACAGAGCTGGGCGACCACTGAGGTGGGAAAAAGAACAAGATGGCCGCTCAGCCTGCCTGCCTGGCAGATTCCGATCCCAGCCAGCCACCACCAGCTCTCCACATGCAGGACTTGAAGCATCTGCCAGACGGGTGCTGGCTTTTGATCAGAACTGTGTCGAGCCAGAGACCTGCAGGGAAGCCGGCAGGCTCCCTGGAATTGGCTAGCGGGAGTCTTCCAAGCTTCCTCGAGCGAGTTACTTGAAGAATTTGAGCACAGACGGAGAACATGGGTGGATGGGGGCTGCATAGCAAAGACCAGATCTTTTTAACTGAGGTCAAGTCATTCCAGCCGAGGCAGGCCAGGCACCCTTTCCCCTCTGGCGGATGGAGCTGGATTTGGGGCTGCATTGGCAGATTTAGCTAGTGACCCTGGGCTCAGAGTCTTTTAACTCTGTGGAATAATACCTGTAAAACCGAGGCCACTAGAGTGGGTTCCCAGTGTCCCTGTGAGGCGTGTGACACTGTGACAGAGCTGTTTACAAGACATATGATCACTCCAGCGCGTCCACTCAGCAAAGTCTGCTGGAGGCCTCATCTTTTCAAGAGGTCCTCTGGGGCGTGGGCTGCTGTCCTTAGGAAACAGTTTGCATCCTTGACGGAGGTTCAGAAATCCCCGAAAGCTGTCAGGAGCCTGTGTCTGGCTCTGGCAGGAGCAGCCAGGCCAAGGGTTAAACAGAGGCCTAGCGTGTTCTGCGCCTGACAATAGCAGTCTACAGGACTCCAGGCCGCTTGTCTTTCACAAACGAGTTCAGCTTATTGGCCCTAACCTTCAAAGAACCCAGAGGTCCCTGCCTAGCTCGATAAATAAATCCAATTCTACTCTAGCAGGCTTCGACAAAGTTCAACTGTTGACTCCCTCCTGAATCTCCCCGTTCACTCCCTCGTGGCACCCTAGCCCCATGCCTGTTCAACCCCCCTTTCCTCTGGGGATAAATCAGCCTCCGTTTGCGTTTCTGTTTTAATTCTTTCAAAGGACGAGGAATGTTGACACCCTTGAAACATGCCTCTGATGTCTGGTTAGACTTCAGACGGCTGTATGTGAGCGTGCACTGACGCAATCGGGCCTATTGGGTTAAACCAAATATTACAATCGCAAGAACTCATCTGGAACTAATAATTTTGAGGCCACCGAAAGTAAAAGCCGCCCCCCCCCCCCGCTCCCCCCCTCCTCCCCGCTTTGGGGCCTGGCCAGAGACAGAGGCCAGCTCGGGCCAATGCTGCCACCTGCCGTGGGCGCGGGGAACAGGGCGCGCCGCCCCGGCCTTCCTGTTTTGTTCGCGACCCCTCTGCACCCACGCAAGACAGGTTCCTCGCCAGCCAGACCAGGGCTATTTTAAAAGGCTAGCGCCTGTCCCCAGCCCTTAAGATAAAGATAGCCAGTCTGACTGCTCACTGTCTTCTCTGAAAAAGGACCATTTCCCAATTATAGTGCCAGGCTTGGCTAGTAGGGCACTCGCGACTAGTCGGAGCTCCGTTAAGCACACAACCCTTGTACTAAAAGGGGATCGTGTGTCGCCGGCTCACTTAGAGGAAGGCTCATTTAAGAAAGAATGTTTTATTTTGCGGGGGATGAAGGAAACGCACAACTCTGGGTTCTGTCGGCACATTGCTGAACTGCAAGTCACGTGCCAGATCCAGAAATGATGAAAACATCTGTTTTTGCTTTAGCCCAGCGAGGCCCCGACGGTGGGGAGGGGCAGGGAAGGGACCGAGATGGCTTTGCTCACGAGCGCCATCTGCCGAGCCTACGCGGGAAACGCGTGTGTCCCGGGCACAATGCAGGTTGCTCACCCCCGGGAAGGGACAGATCAACAGGTGGGGGGGTCTGTGCCCGGGAGACCATACTCTTCAGAGGACAACTCTGGCTGTGTCCCGGGAACTTTGCAACTCTGAATTGTCTCAAAATGTTCTCAACAAAAAGATCTGTCCCTGGAGACTGCTCTAGGGCAGAGGAAGAGGCCGAGGGAGGCAGCGAATGAATTCCCAGGTTGGAAAGAAAAGAGGTAAGGGGGGAGGGGAGGGGCTCTTGGTTTGCAGACAGTAAAATTTGCGGTTCCTGCCGGCTGAAATCTCCTAGAACAAAGAAACCACTTCCCAGCTCCCGCCCTGCACTTCCACCAACCAGCTCTCTTTCCTGGTATGGTGGTTTTGTACAGTAAGTCTGAGAATGCTCCAGAATTCAGAGAATACTATTCTGGTCAGGCAGAGCTTGTCCACCCTTTATGTGTAATTCGCCCAACCTCAAGAAGCTGGTGCTGGATCCAAGCTCTGAACAGAAGCCACACTGACAGCCATGACATGCCACCTTAGCGGGTTTTTTTGTTTGTTTGTTTTTTGCTTTTTTGTTTTGTTTTGTATTTTTTTTTCAGTGTTCCCCGAGTTATTCATTGCTTGCCTACCAGGTCTCACTCAGCACAATTGTTTGTCATGATATATATATCAAATACGTCATGGGAAAATGTGTGCTCTGTGTCAAATCAGTGTTGCACACAATGGCATCTGGGACCTGGGAGGCAAGGAGGAGATTACAGATGTGGACAGGACGTGGAATCCACCTTGGCTCTCAAGGCAGTCGTCTTTGTGCAGAACTCCTTCCCTCAGCCTCCTTCCGCCCTGGCCTCCAGTCTCTTCTACACACACCCTCCTCAGCACGTCTCGGAGCACAGTCTCAGAGGACTGTCAGTTGCAGCCCACTGCTCCATGTCAGAACTGGTCTGGGGCCCAGACTCCATTCCCAAGCTTCTCTTCCTTCCCAGATGCAGGCTTGCCAGGGGCGTCTGTGTCCTTTGAGACTGGGCTGCTGAGCACACCCTCAGCTCTGAGGCAACATTCCCCGAAGTAAGTCTGCCTGTGCAGGCTGACTGTCTTCTAACCTACAAACTTGCAGGTCTAAAAGGGAAACAGAGGCTATCTGGCTTTCCTACCCCTTGCCCAAACAAGTATAGAAAGAGCTAGCTGTCTTTTGTATGGGTCAGGAATCTGTGTACTATCTAAGGGATTTCAGAAAAAGACACCTCATTTTTACAGTTGCACAAATTTCCTCAAAAGCAACCCCATCCTCAGCAGAGTAGCTCTATCCCTACTGACCATATCTGTTTCCGTGGTACCAAGTTCTTATATTGCTGGGGCCCTGCAGGCTCCCCTGTGCCCTGCAGCACTCAGGTCTGGTGTTGGAACATTGCCAGTTCCCAGGGAGCCCTTCCCACCAGGACAGTCAAGTTCTTTTCTTGTTTCGGGCTGTAAAACGTTAGAACATGAAACTTCCTTTTAGTCTGACTTGATATTGGTCTAGTACGGAGAGTTTTGTTGAATTGTCTTTGTTTTCTTACAGAGGGAACCTAGTGCTTACTGTCTCATATTTCTTTTCTGGTCTCTTGACCTCTTTTCTTATTTCTACCTGGTTCTGCAACAGGTCTGTGTTTTGATGCACAGAGATCAGGATATGAAACTTCTTACGCTGTGTTGTCATCTCAGAACTCAGATGGAGGATGTTTTTAGCAACATCAGAAAAACCAAAATCTCTGAAAGAGGTTCCAATAATAAGACAGAGAGAGGAAGAAGAGCAGCAATGTAAAAAACAAACAAACAAACAAACAAAAAAAAAAAACAGGGGTGACAGTGCCCTCCTCCATGTGAAGTGTCATACCTCCCAAACATTTGTTTAGTCCCAGCCAAGATGCTCTTTTCCTCACATAAAAATAATTTGTTCCCTACTTTTCTCCATCCATCTTGATGTGATTCTCCTCACACAGAGAGGAATAACCTTTGTTCCAAGCTCCACTCTCCTAAGCTGGGCAGAATTCTGCAAGATCACCCTGCACACACAAGCTTAGCGCCTCCCTTCCAGCTCCAAACAACCCATAATCCCAAACCCGTTCTTTTAAACAGAGGTTTCTTTTATGCTTAAATTCCTAAATAAAAGGAATGTCGACCGCTACTGTTGTTTTTCCAATTAAATCCGATTTTTGCTGAAATGCTGCTTGCTCAAAAATCTGGGTGTGAGCTGCATGCAGGCTGGGCTCCGGGAACTGGAATTCTCCAGCTAGCTGGAGAGCCCTCCAGTGGCCAAAATAATAGCTGCCATAAACAAAGGGCACCAAAGCCAGTGCAGCAACAAAGACAGAAGGGTGGTCCCTAGCCTGTGTGGAAAATCCTGCAGAGTATGATGCCCACATTTTGCTCCATGGAGGTGTGTCTCACTTAAAGGAAGCCAAGACAGAATCTCAACTTGAAGGATGATGACGTTATTTGCATGACAAAAGAATCCTTCATGAGATAAAAGAGGGGCAGGTTTGAACTCCTTTAACCGATAACTCCCTCTATTTTTTTTTTTAAAGATTCTATTGAACTGGGGTGGCGGGGGGATGCAAATTTCTAGAATGCATCTGTAAAACCTAACAGGGTGCACTTGAGCTTGCTCTACTTGACCCCCCACTGACCTTTCCTTCTACCTGGGCAAACCTCCTAAGTACTATGACCTTGAGAGACAAAAGGAGGTCAGGGTCCTTGGAGGTGAGGTAAGAAGAGAAGGGGCAAGTTCAAGGTTGTCTGAGCCCAGAGAGACTTTCTGGAGGGCTTCGAAAAACCAGATGGTTCCTCTGGACCTGACAGCCTTCCAGTTTTCCAGAAAGAGTTCTAGATCGGTTACAAGTTAGTACATCATGTCACCTAGGCAGGCATGCCTCAGTTTCTTCTGGTGTAACAAACGAAGGGTAGACAACACAAGCCAAACACAGACTTCTAGGAAGTGTTGCTCCCTAGTTACTGTAACGACCTTTGTTACCTGGAAGCACAGTAGAAGGAGAGGGGAGGGAGAATTCTTACCACGAAGTCCCTTTAGTCCGGACTCATTCTGAATCCCTGCTGGATGCCAGGAGAAGCAGAGGTGAGGCAGGGATGGAGAAAATGGAGCTTATCCTCCCCACCCTCCGCTCCCTCCCCACCCTCCGCTCCCTCGGGCCCTGCTGTCTAATCTCCTTCATGCCATCATGGTCTGTGCTCAGGACCGATGTCTAGGTCCCCACAAATGTATAGGTTGAGATCATGCTCCCACAAAGGGATAGTATTGGGAGATGACATCTTTGGGTCATGAGATCAGAGCCTCATGAACAGGATTAGTTCACTCATGAACGATATGCCAGAGACCTGCCTTCCCCTTTCTCTATTCAAGGAGAGAGCAAGAAGCCTACCAAGGAAGGAGGAGCCCTTGCCAGCCATAATCTCCAGAGCCCCTGTCTTGAACTTCCAGCCTTCAAGTCTGAGAAACAATGTGGTTTAAAAACCACCTACTTTGTAGCATTGGGTTACAACCACCCAGCGACTGGATTTGTTTGTTTTGCACGCTTAGCTGAAGCAAGGAGCCAGTATCTGTCTGGAAGCCGGGCAAGAGCTGGTCCAAGTCCATCAAGCTCCGGAGAAAGGACATGTGTGAAGATGAAGTGCCCTATGGCAGATGAGTGTGTAGCAGCAGGACCACAAATTCTCGGGTGGCAAAGGACCAGGGACCAGGCACAAGGCCACAACCTGCTCTCTTGAGCACAGCCACTATCCTTTGGCCACTTCCACTGTCACACTCCAGCCTTTGCAGACGAGCACGGTCTTCTTTTGATCTGTTTTGTGCATATTGTCTGACTTCTCCATCTTTCAAACATTCGTGGGTGTTTCGGGGCTGAAGTCACTTCTCCTTTCCCATTTTTCTGTTCATCCTGTATCAGACTAGTCTCCATGCCTATTGCATCCTGAAAATCAGGGACACCCGTGACTTCCTCCTCTGTGAGGAAGTGTATCTCAACCCAGGGCTACAGGGGACTGAAGGAAGACACCCATGGGTGACACCCATAGTTGTAGCGGGTGAGATGCACTGTTTTGTGTATGTCATGGTCTGCTGGCATCCTCACCATAGCCAGTGGGGTAGACGCTACCCCACCTGTGTTGACAGGGAGGAGACAATAATGGGTAACGTGTTAAGAGGCACACTATCACGGGGCTCCTGAGCCAGGATTCTTCCCCGGAGCCCAGACCCCAAACCTCACGATTCCACAAGGGGACCATGGAGAAGCACAGCAGACACACAGCTGAGCTCACGGCCCTCATTCCTGAGCTTGCTCAGGTATTGAACCAATAGATCCTCTTTTCTCTGGGCCCTGAGCACCTGTGTCCTCCCCATTCCCACTCACCCTCTGACCTCTCCAAAGCAGAGTGTCCTAAGGCCTTTTAACTTCAGAAGAATCTCCCAAAACATATGACTTTGAGATCTCTATCATTCTGAAATCTCTCTCCAGATGTTGTGCCTGCCCCATCCCAGTAACTGCAGTGTTATTTAAACAAGCAAAGAACCAGGACAGCTAAAACAATCTTATACAAGAAAAAACTTCCAGAGGTATTACTATCCCTGATTTTAAGCTGTATTATGAAGCTGTAGTAATAAAAACTGCATGGTATTGACATAAAAACACACAGGTTGATTAATGGAATCAAATCAGAGACACAGACACAAATTCACACACTTTTGGATACACCTGATTTTTTATTAAAAAAAAAAAGTCAGAAATATACAATGGAAAAATTAAAGCATCTTCAACAAATGGTTCTGATTTAACTGGATGTGTGGTGATATTGTGTTCCCCAAAATATTGTGCACCCTAATAAACTTATCTGGGGTCAGGGAACAGAACAGCCACTAGATATAGAGGCCAGAAAATGGTGGCACACACACCTTTAATCCTGTTACTTGGGAGGCAGAGATCCATCCAGATCTCTGTAAGTTTAGAGCCACACTGGAAACAGCCAGGCATGATGACTCACGGCCTTTAATCCCAGGAAGTGATGGCAGAAAGCAGAAAGGTATATAAGGCGTGAGGACCAGGAACTAGAGCTGGTTAAGCTTTTAGGCTTTCAGTAGCAGTTCAGCTAAGATTCATTCCAGATAAGGACTCTGAGGAAACAAGACCAGCTGAGGGATTGGTGAGGTGAGGTTAGCTGTGGCTTGTTCTGCTTCTCTGATCTTCCAGTATTCACCCCAATACCTGGCCCTGGGTTCATTTTTATTAATAAGACCTTCTAAGATTCACACTACAAGTAACTCTGGACAGAAACTTCCAGTACACAGCTCCAGCCCGGCAAGTTTTGAACTCCACATACATTTAGCCATTCCTTATGTTCATTATGTTGTTCTCTCAGCCTCAGGCTATGCCTCCTTGTGACAGGGATTTTGTTTGGTGTGACGAATGAAGCATCTTCAACACCTGGAGAGTACCCAGTCAAAGTTTGCTAAATGAAAGAAGCCAGCTTTTACATGGTCCCACCTGCTGGGCTATGCCACCAGCCCTTTACATGTCCTAAAGAGAATTCACTACCCTTTCCACACCTGTCCTGTTCTCTCCCTTCATACCCAGGTTAACAATATCAGTCACCCACTTCATCCTACAGGCCAGGGATATTGGAATTATTCTGGCCCTGTATCACTTCGTTTGTTGGTCGGGGGGGGGGGGGGGGGGGGGGGGGGGGGGGGGGAGGGTTATGTACATAAGTGTGTCTGGTGTATGACACATTGAAGTGTGTGTAAATGTGTATAATGTGCACATGTAATACATGTGGAGGTCAGAGGTCCAAGTCAGGAGTCTTTTTTGGTATCTCCCAACCTTATTCTTTTGAGACAGTTTCTCTCATTGACTCTGGAGCTTTCTGATTAGCTAGACTGGCTGGCCAGTAAGCTGTAGGGATTCTCTTGTCCCCAACCTCCCTCCCCCAGAGCAAGGATAATGAGCTTTTCAAAATGAGTTCTGGGCATCAAATTCAGGTCCTCATGCTTGCCTGGCAAGGACTTTACTATGTCATCTCTCCAGCCCTCCGTGTCACCCTCTGGGGGCCCTGGTGGCTACTTGAGCTTTTTGAATGTCATTGTCCCTAGGATTCTGCAAAAACAATCTTTGCCCTATCTCTCTCACCTTGTGGGGAGACTCTTCCTCCATGAAACAAGTGAAGACTGCCAAATTAAAATAGTGCTAGGACCAGAAAGGAAAACAGCTCAGTGAAGCCCAACAAGAGGAAGGGGCGTGGACTATGGTGTCGGCTGCTGGGAACCGTTGGAATCTACAGCCATGAAGCATCCTCCCATGTGGAAACGCCTGCAGATCTGTCTCTATCAGGCATTCCCACCACTCTCTAGAGTCACTTCAACATTATCCCACTTCAAAGACAAGAGGATAAACACACGAGATACTTGGCCAATTATCATATAGCCATAAACATCAGTCTTTGCCTAGCCTCTCTCTACTATTCCTCTCCCAAAGTGGGGTCTGTCCAGTGTGCATGCTGTATGAGCTGACTTGCTTTGTTTCCTAACTTTTCACTTCGTCTCCCAAGGACTCTGAGCAGCAGAAGTCACTACTTGCCTGACTGATATGTGATACATACCTCCACCTGTTTCTTCCGGGGATGGAGAAACAGGCCAAATGAACTACATTCAACAGGTTCTTGGACAAAAAGGTGGCCAGTGAAACATGGACAGAAGCTGTTAGATGGTCTGGGAGAACTCTTTAAAAGGGAAGTACCACAGTTGTGAGATTCTCTTTTACACTCACTCTGGGGATCCCAGTAAGCACTGAGTGACTGTGTAAAGAGCAGCTGAAATTCTAAGAAGAGTTGATGATGCCCTGAGAAGTGAGTGTGTAGTGTTTGACATGGGTACAGCAATGTCAAGGATCCAAAGCCTCAGACTCATGGGAGTAGCCAAGCCTTTCCCCAGGGTGAAACTCAAAGTCATGGCAAAGCCTCCTTCAGGTCTAAGTGTGAACAATGACAGTGTGTGTGTGCAAGATTTTCTTTTCTGAACCATTGACCATTGTGTGCAAAACCTAGCAAGCATGGCTTCCTTCTCCCAGATGGCTGCAACCTTAGACTGCCTGCTTCCTAAGACCTCCAAATGAGACCAGCTTTGTTGTACATAATAAAAGCTGTGGTTCTGGCTTGTGTATTAGGTATGTCCCTTCAGAGAGAGCACAGCCCACTTGATCCTAGCTTTTCTGTACACGTATCTGTGGGTTTGTCCTTTCTTCACTCTGTTATTGGCCCAGTCAGCTTTTCAGGACCAAGCTGTGTAGGATGTGGTACCTCATCTTTTCCTCCTTGATACTGGACCCTCAGACTTGAAGGATGGAATGGGAGCTCCATGTGGGCTTCAGGCTAGAAAGCTAAAGGCAGAAAACAGTACTAGACAGTGGAGCAGAAAGATGGGAAAACCTGGACACTCAGGGTCTAGCCTAGGACAACTTTTCAATGAAAGCAAACACAGACCTTGCCTTTACAGGTGGGGAGGATGAGTTTGGGGTTATATGAAGCTGAACTTCACAGTAACTGGTTCATTCCTTAAGAGCAGGTTATACACGTAAGAATGCAATAACAATTAATGAAAAAAAAAGAGGCCATGAATTTGAAGGACAATGGGGGAGGGTGTATGGGGGGATTTGGAAGGAGAAAGGGGAAGGAAAGGGAGAAATGTAATTAGAGTATAATCTCAAAAAATGTTTAAAGTATATAAAAAATCAGATAACCCATGCCTTTGTTCATTCCACCACTTCACCAAGTGTCGAAGGCTATCCTAAGCTCTGTGGGAATCTAACAACCAGAGCACTCTATGAGAAGGATCCACATTCTCTACTCCTTCCCTCAGGATCCAGAGACGATAAATGACAGATTTCATTCTACAATAGCTTTCCACTCTTGATGAGTTCATGGATCTTCACTTTTGTATTGTCTTTACCAGGCTCGCCAACATCACAGTTGGGATGAGTTACGCTCTTGAGATAAGAAGAGTTCTGCTGGTTTAAATCTATTCTCCCAAGGGTCCGTGTATTAAAAAGTTGCTCCTTAGCCTGTGGTGCTATCGGAAGGTGATAAAACCTATGGGAAGCAGATCCTGTTAAAAGGAAATTGGTTCACTGGGGGTGGAGGTGGGGTGGGGACAGATCCTTTGAGGAGGTATTGAGAGCTCAGCCCCTTTTCTCTCTTGACTTCTAGCTGAGCTTTCTCCTCTTGCCACATGCTGCAGCCATGACACACAGAGCTGCTATAGGGTTAAAGTATCAGGATCAATTGATCATGGACTGCAGCATCTGAGACTGTGACTCAAACCTTTCTTTTAAGTCACTTATCTTAGTTATTTTGTCACAGAGACAGAAAAAAAACAAGCTAACATTTTCCCACCAGCCACTACCAGAACCACTTTTAGCTCCTGCATGAAGCGCTTTCTCAGATGAGCTTGGAGTGCCTTTTAAAGGAGAGTAAGCCCCCCAGAGGTCTACCAGCGCCGATTCAAGCTGTGTCAACACAGGAAACAGCTCTTTGTACCAATATTTCCAGAACTATGTCAAAGAAGAGGCAAGGAGGAAAACAATCTTACTGTGGGATACAGAGCAAGAAGCAAAAAGCAATTTGTTAATGCATGCTTTAGAGCTTGTGTTGCGTGGGAGCTGCAGATTTCCAGGTGTGAAGACTAAGGCAGACATGCCATAGACCCTTAGGAAGAGGGCCAGAGGTCTGAGGGTATAATCCAGTAGGACAGTGTTACCTTAACATCACAAGACCCTGTGACCAAAAGGTGGGGAAGGGCTGAGCAATCCCGGGGTCAGCCACGCTTTGTGTATTTTATAAACCAAGATTGTCTAACTTTGTTCACTTTGCTGAGATTATTAATTCAGTTTTCCATTCCTGAGCACAACATAGAGGTTATAGGGTTTATTGGGGCACTGGGGTTCTTGTGCTTACCCCTCCTTCCAGTTGAGAAAAACTGCCATACAAAAAAAGGCTGATGGAAAGGAGTATCAGGGTTTGGGTTAAACAGCAAATAACAAACTCTTCTGCCCTGAGACTGAGGTAGAGTTGGAGCCTGTGCCTTCCCAGGGCATCACACTGGAGCCAACCTCCTCCCTCCACAGAATCAGGACCCACAAGCACAGCCTTGACTTTAGGCCTTTAGGAATCAGAATACGCATCCGTTCATTAGCTGAGCTCTTATGCAAGTCACTTAAAATCTTTAATCTCCATTTCCTCTTTTACAGAACTGCAAGGAATTCACAATGGCCTCTCAGCCCTGAGGATTTGCTTTAAGTTGTCCCAGGGAGCAGGAATCGTGTCAGTTTTGTTCGCATTATATTCTTAGTGGTTAAGAGGGTACTGGATAGAGAAGAGTGCTCCTAAGTTCTTAGATGAATGTTGCCATGGGATCCATGCCCCGGGACTCCGTCATCCAGAAAAGTTTAGTATCTTGGCAATTAGAGATGACTTTCATCATTCATTTCCCTAGTGGCTACCACAATCCTTGGATTTTCCCTCCCCTTTGCTTAATACCTCTCTGTCTTAGAAACTGTAGACCTATAAGAGATTCAGTATCTACTCAAGTGGATTCCACACTCTATTCCTTCTAGCTCTGGCAGGTGAAGCTCTGCACCACACTGTAATACTCAGGAAAACCATTGACAGTCCCTGTGCAGTTGATGGAGAGCATATTCACCAGCCATCACTAAGTACCCACCAAGTTCCTCCCATCTCGTCCTCTCATTCCATCACATAGACCCATGCAGAAGGG